CTGATTCAAATGATCATAACTTGATGATTAGTCGATTATTTGAATCAGCTGTGTAAAGCTAGGGCAAAAACCAAAACGTGCACCCCTTGGGGTCCCGAGGACCGAGTTTGGGAAACGCTGCTATATAGTGTAGTGACAGTCTTCTCTACCTCCAACCCCCTGGGGACAGAGTGAACATCTGGTGACAGTACTGCTCTATTCTGGGACAAGCAGAACCACCCAGCCTTGTCTATGGAAATCTCAGTTTCACTCCCACAGATACCAGTGTAGTAGTTGAACAGTTTCACTGCCTGAAATACCCTGGACTGGGCCAGATGTGAGGGAGTGGACTGGTTTTAACCTCTATGGTGGATTCAGGGATGGACTCATAACAGATATGCCACCATGTAATTAATGACAGATAAAATTGATATTATACTTTACATAGATAGTGTTATGTAGTGTACATGTGTCATGTTTGAATCCAGCATCATGTCTCATTCACAGATCTAACAGTCAGTAACCTGCTCATGAAAACAGTTAATATAACGGTAGAAGATCACAATTTTAATCAGACATTTGGTTGAGGTCCATTTTGGGATTGTTTTGGGGGGCTGAAGTGATTGTAACTTTGAAGTAATGTTGAGGTTAGAAACACCTTTGTTTTACATCTGTAGATCTTGCGTTACATGTGACAGGTAATGTGTTTCAAAACTTCAAATAAATGTTATACACACTTAAAGGCCATGACAAATATAACAAGTTAAAAACCATGATGATGATGTTAATGATGATGATGATGGTCATGTGAACTGAATGATTGCTTTCTAACCATATTGTCACATGTCACAGTTGACCTCATCTAGTGTTCCATGTCACTGTCTCTTCCCCCTCAGCACCTGCAGTAGGTCCCAGCTGTAGAAGTACAGTCACTGTGCAGTCTGACTGAGGGAGGTTTTTGTACGACTCTGTATCACTGTGTGAACACCCAGACACTGTTGGGATAGTGCCAACTCTGACAGTAGTAATCTCCTGCATCTTCAGCCTGGGACTCCACTGATGGTCAGAGTGAAGTCACTATGGAGTTCCACTACCACTGAATCTAGATGGAGTCCCAGACTGAAGTGTTTGTAGCATAGTAAATAAGGAGTTTAGGAGCTCCTCCAGGTTTCTGTTGATACCAGGCTAGACGGTTATTGCTATAGACATCACTGCTGGTTTACGTTCAAAGAGACTGTCTGTCCTGGGAGAACGCTTTCACTTGCAGGGGTCTGAGTTACAGTGATCTGACCTCGGATTCTGAAACAGAGATGGCATGTAGAAAGAGCATTCAATTGTTAATACATTTTTCCATGTAGCATATGAAATTAAGCTGTAATGAGGTTATTTAGCGCAATTGTCCGGGTAATTTTCTGTAAAATATATTACCTTGGAGACAGAGGGCAAATATCCAGATAAAGATGGTGATAAAAGTCATGGTTGTTGTGGAGTCTGTTGTCATGAAGGACAGCTCTCAGTCATGAAGTGTTAAACTCACAGGGATATAAACACTCCCAGACCTCTGAAGCATGTGCTGTCTATGCAAAGTGTCCTCTCTATGCAAATGGGACTCCTGGAGCAAGGCAGATAACGTATGCCTCATTTGGTAATATATTGGATACACACTGAGTGTCCAAGACATTAGGAACGCCTTCCTAATATTGAGTTCCACCCCCTTTTGCCCTCAGAGCAGACTAAATTTGTCAGGTCATGGAGTCTATAAGGTGTCGAAAGTGTTCCTTCCACAGGGATGCTGGCCCATGTTGACTCCAATGCTTCCCACAGCCATGAAGGGATGCACCTGATTGGCAATTTAAACGTTGCTCCACTTTTATCAAGGGCCCAATGTGTGCCATGAAAACACACCCCACACCATCACACCACCAACGTTGATACACAGCTTTTTGGATGCATGTACTCATGTGGTTTTGTCCATACCCTAGTCCTCCCATCAGCATGAAAACAGCAGGAACAGGGATTCATCAGATCAAGCAATATTTTTCCAATTCTCCAGTGTCCCTATTTCCCTTATGCCCCCGCAAACTCAGTTTTTTGTTTTTTTCGAAAAAGTGTAACTTGTAAGGAGTCGGGTGCCAACCCCTTGTTTCAGGTAGATGAGTTGTGATTTTTTAGGGTCTTTTTCACAAAATTTTTACTTCTGTTTGACATGTAGCCCGTTTTGTCTGCCAAACTGTCAGGTCCTTTGTCCCCTTTCATAAAGACCGTTTTCGACCCCCTGGCCTGCCGTTGGGTGAAGCCTTTTGGGGGGTTTACCATCTTGATAAACAGGAAACTTTGACGTGAAAAACCCCAGCGTGCAGTTTGCCGGCACCCACACCAACCCCCTTTTAAAAGAACTTCAAAATTTTGTCTTCCATTCACTTTGAAGGGACACATACACACCATTTTAATTTCTCAAGCAACAAAAATTCTATAACCCCTCTCCCCCTTCTCTCATGATTGAAGGGATTTATCAAGGACATCCAAAAACGATATAGCTTTTACCTGGATTCACCTGTCAGTCTGTCATGGAAAGTTCCTAATGTTTTTTGCATCAGTTATTCCTTTTGTGACCGTTTTCATTTTTAGGGTTGGGGTTTGGGCAAATAAAAAAGGGAACCTAGATCCTCTGACCCGGGTTTTTAATTTTCCGGTCCTGGAGGGGGGGAAACAAATTCGTTTTTTATTTTACCCGGTTTTAATTTCAATCATGGGTTTCCCAAAGGGTTTAAATTTGCCCCTGATTAGGAGGAGAGGATGAAAACAGAGGGTTTTCCCCTCAGGGGGGAACGCTTCTGGTCCTACCCTTCGTTCTGCCCTACCTTCCTGGTTGTCTCAACCATTCACTTCTAGTCCTCTATTCACTTTGCCCCAACACCTTTCCCGGTTAGTCCCAACAAAATGGTCTAGTCCTCCCCCTCAAACCTCCCCCCAAAATGTTTAGAGTGGGTTGAGTGGGGAGGGGAAAACGGGGGAAAAAAAACTGTTATTGGGAAGAGATTTGGAAATTTTCTTTTATTTGGGCTTTTAACTAATTTGCCACATGGTAAGTCACCCGGAAAGCCGACCCTCTCAAATGCAAACCCGTTTTTAGAAGGTCCCATTACATAATATATTTTAACGAGGAACATCAGGAAATAAAATGACCATTTTTACACCTTTACGTGTTTGTTTCTCAGTGTTTTACAAAATTATATAAAACACAAAAAAAGTGAATTTGGGCGACCCGAGCCTTTAAAGGATTACTGCTGGTTTTCAGCGGGGAGTAAATGCAGTATGTGACGAAAAGGGCAGCTTTTACGGCAGGATCTGAGTACGTGTTTCCTGGGTATGAGAAAAAGAAAACACATTGTCGATCAATTCCATTTTTAAAATCAGTTTTCTAAAAATAAATGTTTTGATCAAAAGCAACTTTAACTTGAAAAAAAATGGGAAGCCCAAGAGAAGGGGTTATTCAATCCCTATTGTGAAGTACAGCGTTCGCTGATTTAATTTAAAAGGGAATGGTTTCCGGTTAGCGGAGACTGCATTTCCGGGGAACGCTGCTTTTGGGGCAGGTGCAGGGTTAAAGGGCGCTAGTTCGAACCCGAGCCGACAGGTGAAAAAAACTTTGTGTGCCCCTTATAAGGCACTTAACCCAATTTCCTGTAAGTCCCTTGGGAAAGCTGGAAGTAAAGGAAAAAGTCAGCTAAAACAAAAATTATCTTGACATTCTATCCCGGGAATCTGTAACGTTTCAATGATACAAAATTTAGCCCGAAAGGTGCAAATCATTGTTTTTGGGTCCTGTTTTCATCCCCCCAGCTCCAGTCATGAAAGGTTAAAACCAAAAGTTTTACAGTACGGGGATACGCATATTCATGTTTTAATCTATTTCATTTTAAGTAGGTACCATATTAAGATGTATTTTAGATTTAGATTTTAACAGCAACGTTACACTCTAATATTGTATATGAAAACTTTTTTAGATGAAGGGCTCTATCAACCGTTGGAAGTTAAATTTAAAAATTGGGTTTTTAAAGGTTGTGTGAGGTTGTGGGGAAGGGGAGGGAGGAGGGTAAAAAAAGAATAAAGGTTTTAATCCGAAAATAAGGTTTGAAAAAAGCGTAAACAAAAATCCCGGGGACAAAACAGGGCACTGGAAAAAAACAAGGCCCGGGAAAAACTCCCGTCCCAAAAAAAAACACGGCCCCCACGACTTCACAACCTCCACAATTTAAAAATCACCCACCACAAGGAAGCAGAGTGAAATTGATAATGAGGGAATGGAAGGTGTGTGTGATTGAAGACAGACAAATGGGGTGAGATAAAGGATCGGCGTAGCTAGTAAGCCGGTGACGCCCAAAACGAACCTGCCCTAACAAGGAGGGGAGGCACCCCGACGGAAGTTGACAAGGCTTCAGCGACAAAATTTAAAACAGTTAACGTCACTTCCTCATGTTGGACTCTTTTTGTAAGTTTTTCAAATCATTTTTGAACACTTCTCTAAATAATGTGGAGGATTCCTTGGGAGTTAGTGTTTTCTGGGACTTACTACCGAGATATATTGAGATAAACAAGGGAAAATACAAAACATGAATAAATATTACTGCTGCTGCATTTGTCCTTCCTTTTAATGGCAAAAAAGGAGGGGAAAACAAATGCTGGATTTTAAAGTTGAAAACGCTGTTCGTTCCTAAGAGGTATTGATACACAATAAAAGACAAAAAAATTATTTTTGGATTTAATAAAATTGATATTTTTAAATTGTTAAACAGCTTTTTAAGTGTTTGTTTGGAAGATTTTAAAGTATTTGTTTTGAATGTGTTTCGTATGATGTTTCACTGTAACAGCTAAGCATCAAAACACAGAGAAGTTTTGTCCAGCAGAATAGGTTGTATCAGGGGGGGATTTTTGGTACGGCCCCCAAACTAATTTTGGGGGTAATTAAAAAAAACCCCCTGCTGACGTGTCGGGCCACAAGGTTTTCCCCCAACTGGACCATGAGCTGGAAATGGGAGGACCACCCGAAGCAGGACCAGTCCCGGGGCCCGGAAAAGGAGGGCCCGTACGTGGAGCGCATCGGACTCCATCCCCAGAGTGGACAAGGGCGGAGAGGTGACCTGTGAATCCAGAAAATTCCAGACTCCAGTACCAACCCTGGGGGGCGACTGTTGATGGACCCCTCGCACACACCCCTGGGGAGGGAGGCGGTTCCTCGTTGAAGCTTTTTTTCTAAAATAGTCGTTCTCTTTTAGTGTCATCGGGTGTAGACTAACGGGGGCAGGATTGATTTCAGTGTCAACCATTCTTAGTTTGAGTTTTTGGGTTTTTTTAGATTGATGTATCTGCTTTATTCACTATCATTTTTTGCTTTGAGTTTGATTGTGTGAAAAGGGTTTAAAATAAAGATTTTTTTTTGGAATGCATTTTAGTTTTTTTAAATAATGGTCATAGATAGTGTATATTTGCTATTCCGAAATCAGTTAAAACCATATTGACCATTTTTAAATACATCCAAAATTTTGATTAATAAAGAGGTGCTGCCATGGTAGTTTTTGAGTTTTATTCATCAAATATGGTCTGGTCAAGTTTTGATTGAAGCAATAAGATAAAAGAAAACTATAAAAACAGTCAACCGTTTTTTGGACCCCACTGTTTTTAGTGTGACGAAAAAATTTTTTTAAAAAAAAATTTAAAAAAAAATTTCAAGTGCCACTATTTCAAGAGACAGTGTTTCCCAAATGGTCCTCGGGCCCCAAGGGGTGCATGTTTATTTTTTTACCCAAATAACAGCTGTTTTAAAATTAAAAAAAGCTTGAGATTTTATTATTTTTCATCACATGTAAAACTGGGGCAAAAACCAAAAAAGTGCCCCCCTTGGGGTCCGAGGACCGATTTGGGGAAAAGTGCTATATGTGTAGTGACTTTTCTCTCCCTCAAACCCCCCGGGGACGGGGTGAAATCTGGTGCAGTGTGCTTTTTGGGAAAAAAGGAACCCCCCAACCCCTGTTATTAAAATCTAGTTTCACTCCCACAATACCGTCTAGATTTAAAAATTTTCACGCCGAAATACCTGGACTGGGCCAGGTAGGGAGGGGGGATGGTTTTAACCTTTGGGGTGGATTCAGGGGGGAGACTGACAGTATGCCACCATGAAATTTAAGACATATAAATTGTATTAACTTTACGAGATAGTGTATGTAGACATGTGTTTTGTTTGAACCGCTTGCTCATTCACAGATCTAACAGTATAACCGGGGGGGGCAGGTATTTGGGGGTTAAGGGGTTTTGTGCCACTAACTAAAAGGTTGCGGTTCTAACCCCCGAGGACTGGGTGAAAAATTGTTGACCCCCCTTGAGCAAGGTTTTTAACCCTAATTGCTCCGTAAGTCACTTTGGTAAGAGGTCTGTAATTGCCAATACTATTAATATAAAACATTAATATAATCTAGAAGACACAATTGAAATAAAAAAATTTTGGTTTGGGGCCATTTTGGATCTTTTTGGGGGGGCTAAAAGGGATTGTACTTTTAAAGAATTTGAGGTCAGAACACCTTTTTTTTAATCTGTAGAATGTTTTTACTTTACAAAAAGGGTTTCAAAACACAAATAAATGTTTTTTCCCTTAAAGGCCTACAAATATAAAAAGTTTAACAATGATTTGATGTAATGATGTAGTCATGTAAAACTGAATGTTTACTTTTAACCCATTTTGCACATGTCACAGTTGATTTCATCTAGGGGTTCCAGTCCTGCTCTTCCCCCTGGGCCCCTGCAGTAGGTCCCACTGTACGTCAGTCATGGCAGTTGATGAGGGGGTTTTTGTACGGTCTGTATACTGTGGAACCCCCAGCCTGTTGGGGTGTCCCAACTTTTTACGTAGTAATCCCCTGATTTCCCCTGGACCCCACTGGGCAGGTAAAAGTCACTATGATTCCACTGCACTAAAATCAAAGGGGAGCCCCAACTGAAGTGTTGTAGCAAAAAATAAATTTTGGAGCCCCCGGGTTTCTGGTGATCCAGGCTAGTTCGGGGAAGGCCTCTGCACCATACACATACTGCGGGTTTTTTAAGTCAGAGGACGTTGTCCTGGAGAAAGCTTACTGCAGGGTCTGGTTCAGTGAACGGGGCTGGATTCGGAAACGAATTCTGTAGAAATAGCATTCTTTTTAATACATTTTCCTGTAATTAAAATTAAACGAAAGGGTTATATAGCCTAATATTGCAATTTCTGGGAAAATTTTCTGTAAAATATTTTCCTGGAGACAGGGGGCAAAACCCAGATGAAGATGGTGAAAAAAGATCATGGTTGTGGGGGTTTTTTGTTTGAAGGAAAATTCAGTCATGAAGTGTTAATCACAGAGATATAAACACCCCAAGTAAAGCAGTGGGGGCAATGCAAAGTGTTCTCTTTGAAAAACATACTTTTTTGGTCCCAAGGGTACGTTTTGAAGGGTTTTTCTTCTTTTGGGATTTGGATGGGGGTCACTCCAAATTTATGTGCTTACCCCCACCTACTGATGGGTGTGGGGCCATTCACACCCTACTTCTTTTATTTTGATCCCAAAAATACAACTTTGGGGGAAAAGGAAAAGACCCCCCCCTATTAGCCCTCCAAAAACCAACCCCCCATTCTACTTTTAACCCTCCCTATCCACTCCGGGCCCCTCTCTAAAACCCCACCCTTTCCCCACTTTTTAAACCCCTACCATCCTATACAGCCCAATGGTCTGAGAAATTTCCACTAACACTCAAGACCCCTGCGTTTTTCGGGAAAAAATCCTCTTTCAAAAAAACCTTTTTCTTGACTTTGATCCTTTTCTCAGAAAATTTAAAAAGGCTATAAACAAAAAAAAGCCCCCCTTTATGAAGCCAATTCCTCCCATCACTCTCTTGTTCTCTCCCACTCCCGGAATCCCCTCAGGTCCCTACCCTGTACCCTTTCCCCTACCATTCTTTACTCTTCGATTGCATTTTTACTACCACCCTGGCACCTCAAACTTTTTTTCCTCACCCAAAACCTCCCATCCCGCCCCCGAACACCCCTCAAATAAAAACACCCAAAAACTTCCACCAAAACAAACATTCCCTTTGTCTCATGCCCTCCCGCACACTTTCACTCTAGAAATCTCCTACTACACAGCCATAGCCAACCTTGCACCAAAACATGTAAATTTTTGGAAAAATAAGTTCACAGGATAAATGACACTTCCACCTGATTTTCTGTTAAGACCGCATCAAAATCAGCTACAGTAATTCTTTCCTTTCCCAAACGGCAGTTCACCAAAAAGGAGGGCACACAGACACCGGGAATTTCCTTTTAACTGCTCCTCCTCAAACTTAAACCCCCCTGTTATCCCTCTTTTCACCTTTAACCCCCAATATGGGTCAACCAAAAAGCAAAGGGTCCCTCTTCTCAAATCTCACTCCCATGGGCCAAAAAATCCCCATAAATTGGGTGAGACCCCAAAATCTGCGATCCCGTGGAGGGCTTCACCCCACTTCAAAATTCCATCTTGAATATGGGACCCTGTTTTTTCACTTAACGCCCACCTTTCCCCACCCACTATTCCCCCTAATCAATTTTTTCGCGTCATCACGCACCTGCCACCTCATTTTAAATTTATACACTTATCAATTCCTTCCCCTCAACCTTCCCCAAATTTGTGCATCCCCCTTTCATTTACTCAAAACATTTCCGTTCTCCTTTTTCTAGTCCCCCCTCTTTCCCTTTACCCAGAAAAAACTTCCCGATGACTAGATAATCCCTCACTATTATTTTTCAGAATGTTTCTCTTTCTTCCTTTTTCTTGTTCCATTTCCCCTCCGCAGAATGTCAACCCCTCGTCCTCCCCCGATCGTTCAAAAAAAACTGGGGGTTTGAAGGATCTTGTGAAAAAGAATTTAAGGTGAGGTGTTGCAGCCAAAATGGCCTTTATTTGGAAACGCTTATGGGTCAAAAAAGGGGGAAGGTTTGGAAGGGTTTTACCGGGGTGGGGAGAGAGGTTTTTCCTTTAAGAACCTTAGGTGTTTAAGGGCTTTTTTTATTTTTTATATTCAACAAAGGTCTTTTATGTTTAAAAAGGGGGGGTTCGGCCCGATGTGATGGCTGAATTCGTGGAATAACTAACCACAGTAGACAAAAATGTGTTTTTTTCTGCCCAGTTTTGTTTTGGGAACCAGTTTATGTAGCAATAAGGCCTTTGGAGGTTTTGGGGGTTAGGCCAAAATCCACGGCTAAGGGTTTATCTAGGAAAACCCCCTTTTCGTCGGGATAAGAACACACTTAGCCATGGTATATTGGGCCTATCCACACCCCCCGTGACTTTTTTCTTAATTATAAAAGGGGGGTTCGGCCCCTAATGCTGATTTGCGAAGAGTGGGATTTTTGGGGTTTTTACCACAGGTATGACAAAAAATTTAATTACGTTGGAACCGTTTTAATAGGCAAAACGGCCTAAGGGTTTGTGGTATAGGCCCAAAAACCACGCTAAAGGGTGGTTCTAAAACTCCGTGTTTTCGCGTGCGTAAGAACAGCCTTACCCGGTTTGTTTCCATTTTAAACCCAAACCTTTTGCCCTTTTCGCTTAAAATCTCCTGAACAATCAAAATTTAAAACATGGGTGTGATGTGATGTGAGGAGAAACCCATACATGTAGCACTGACAGGTTTTGATAAAAGTGCTGAATGGGACGATGTATTGTTTAGACATCTACAAATGGAGCATATGATATTGGGTTTTTTTAGACCAAAACGTTTTTTGTCTCTCTCCGTGGTCAGGGTTTTATGCAGTTGTGTGTGGACTGTGTGATGCCACTGAAGACAGCTTAAAGGGGGGATCTCCAGAGCGCGACGTCTCCCGTTCCGGGTTCACCTGCTGGTTCCCGAATCCAATGGTGGAGGGGGGATTTTTGGGGGTGTTTAGGGGGTTTTTTTTTAGTGTTTGTCTGTTTATTTAACTAGTATTCAAACCCCAGGTTGTCGTAGGGGGGTTGATCATTGTCCATCATCTCTTTAGTTGGTTTATGGTTTTTTCCTTTAGTTACTCAACAGAGTAAATAGTAACGGTCGGAAAAACAAGTATCAGTAGGATCTAAGGGGTTTTAGACATAGCTCTGTTTGCTTAGTTTTTTCAGCTATAACATTTTGTATTTAGGTATCTCCCCCCTCGACCGCAGAGGGCCCACTGTAGCAAAACGTCACTGTGCAGTCTGACTGAGGGAGGTTTTTGTACGACTCTGTATCACTGTGTGAACACCCAGACACTGTTGGGATAGTGTTAACTCTGACAGTAGTAATCTCCTGCATCTTCAGCCTGGACTCCACTGATGGTCAGAGTGAAGTCACTATGAGATCCACTGCCACTGAATCTAGATGGAGTCCCAGACAGACGTTGGTTGGAAGAGTGCATCAGGAGTTTAGGAGCTCTCCAGGTTTCTGTTCATACCAGGCCATACAGGTGTAAGACCCAATACAAGCATTTGAGGCAGTCGCACTGGTTTTACAGTTTATAATAACTGTCTGTCCTGAGAGAACAGATTCCACTGTAGGAGTCTGAGTCACAGTGACCTGTCCTCTGGAATCTGAAAAATAGACATTTAAGATCTCAGATAACATTTGGTCATGTTGTCTAATTTTTTCAATTTCAGAGAAACTTAAGATGAAACACTAAAATAATAAACTGATTTTTGACCAATAAATTGTAAATCTTACCTTGAATTAAGAATATCAATATCCACACAAAACTCATAATAAAAGTCATTGTTGAAGTTCTGTTGTCATGAAGGACAGCTCTCAGTAATGAAGTGTTAAACTCACAGGGCTATAAACACTCCCAGACCACTGAAGCATGTGCTGCCAATGCAAAATTTCCTATGTAAATATCCTTCCTGGTAAGGACCCACATTCAACTGTTAACTATGATTCAGATTATACAGATTATTTTATCGTGTTTTAAATAACTTCTACTGTAAATCAGTGATTCAAGATGAACATATAATGAACTGCGTTCTTCAGTGGATTATTGTCACGGATTCTGCCGAGGCTGCTCCCCCTCCTGGTACGAGCAGGCGTCGGCGGTCGCCGTCCCCGGAGTACTAGCTGCCACTGATCTATGTTTCTGTGTGTGATTGCTTTTGTCTGTCTGTCACACCTGTGTCCTATTGTGTATTCATCACCTGTCCTATAAGTTCCGTCTTTTTGCTTGGTAGGATTGTGTGTTGTTGTTCGCCTGTCTTTGTGCTGCGTGTTTTGTTTCTTGTTTTGTTATTCTAGTGTTTTACGCTTTTTGCGTAAATGCTCGCCTCTTATGTTTGGAGGTCGTTTGTTTACCGTTTCCTCTTGGAAATTTTTGAGTAAACTCTGTTGGACTGAGCCTCGGTGTCCTGCGCCTGACTTCCACCACACATACACCTCACCTCTTGACAGAACAACACACCATCTCCATGGAGACAGCAGGAACAGCGGCGATACCCGATTCCCTGGAGGACCGGATTAATTACCAGGACGCCATGATCCGGCAACTCGGGGTCGCCATGGACGAGGTGTCCAACAGACTGCGCCGGTTGATGAATCGGGAGGTGCCCACGCCGTCTCACACCATCCCAGCACCAACGGCCAGTTCCTCCTCTCTCAGCACCGGAACCCAGTGGCATTCGGCTCTCGCTCCCGAGGGCATATGACGGTTCTGCAGCCGGGTGTCAGGGCTTTCTCCTACAGGTAGAACTTTACCTTGCCACCATACACCCGGCGCCCTCGGGATACGAGAGCGTCTCCCGCCCTCATCTCCTGTCTCTCCGGGAAGGCGTTGGAGTGGGCCAACGCCGAATGGAGGGGAATAGACGCCGCCACCATCACCTACGCGGAGTTTTCCCGCCGCTTCAGGACTGTCTTCGATCATCCACCTGAGGGGAAAGCGGCGGGGAGGAGAGCGTCTATTCCACCTCCGACAGGGGAGGAGGAGCGCACAGGAGTTCGCACTGGAGTTCCGGACACTAGCAGCGGATGCGGGATGGAATGAGAGGGCCCTCATTGACCACTATCGGTGTAGCCTACGACGGAGGACGTCCGTCGTGAGATGGCCTGCAGGGACACCAAACCTGTCGTTCGACCAGCTGGTGGACATCTCCATCAGTCTAGACACCCTGCTGGCTACCCGCGGACGTCCCGAGTGGGGGTCGTCCATTCCATCCTCCAGCACCTCCGAGCCTATTCCTATGGAGCTCGGGGGGTGCTGGCGCTAGAGAGAGGAGGAGGGAGAACCCGAGGAGGGCCAACCCCCTGCACCAACTGTGGCCGTGGAGGACACCACCACGGTCAGGTGCTGGGGAGGGTCTTCTGAGAGAGGGGGACAACAGGTCACGCACTGGGGAGTCATTTCAGGTGAGTAGGCGCCCCACTTACCCAGAGCTCTCTGTTGGTCACATGAGTATTCCTGTGCGTTTTCCACAGGTGGCACCTCATTCCCAGCATAAGGCGCTAGTAGATTCAGGCGCAGCTGGAACTTTATTGATCGTAAATTTTGTGCTAGGTTAGGAATTCCCCTTCGGCCGGTAGAAGTTCCATTCCCTGTCCATGCATTAGACAGCCGGCCGTTGGGGTCGGGTCTGATCAGGGATGTCACAGCACCACTGACGATGACTACGCAGGGGGGTCATGAGGAGATCATTCAGTTCTATCTGATTGACTCTCCTGCGTACCCAGTGGTGTTGGGGCTTCCCTGGTTAAGTACCCACGATCCTACCATAGCGTGGCAACAGAGGGCTCTTATGGAGTGGTCTGCCCAGTGTGTAGGGAGATGTCTAGGTGTTTTCCATAGGGGCGACCTCGGTAGAGAGTCCGAACCAAGTGCCCGCACTGCGCATTCCCCCCGAGTATGAGGATTTAGCACTGGTATTTAGTAAATCGAGGGCAGCAAGGCTACCTCCTCATAGACAGGGGGACTGTGCGATAAATATCCAGACTGGAGCAGCTCTTCCCAGGAGTCATGTGTATCCCCTGTCTCAAGAGGAGACAGCGGCTATGGAGACATACATAGCCGAGTCCTGGCACAGGGATACATACGGCCCTCTACTTCCCCAGTCTCCTCGAGTTTCTTCTTTGTGAAGAAGAAGGACGGGGGGATTGCGCCCGTGTATTGATTATCGTAGTCTCAATCAGATTACAGTTAAATACAGCTACCCACTGCCACTGATTGCGACGATGACGGAATCATTACGCGGAGCGCGGATTCTTCACAAACGTTAGATCTCAGGAGCGCGTACAATCTGGTGCGCATTAAGGGGGGGGATGAATTGGAAGCACAGCATTAGTACCACCTCGGGTCATTACGAGTATCTCGTCATGCCATACGGGGTTAATGAATGCTCCTTCAGTCTTCCATCCTTTGTTGACGAGATTTTCCGGGACATGCATGGGCAGGGTGTAGTAGTTTACATCGACGACATCCTGGTGTACTCTTCTACACGAGCCGAGCATGTAGCCCAGGTGCGCCGAGTATTGAGACGACTGTTGGAGCATGATTTGTATGTCAAGGCAGAGAAATGCCTGTTCTTCCAGGAGTCCGTCTCCTTTTTGGGTTATCGTTTGTCCGCGTCTGGCGTGGAGATAGAGGTAGATCGGGTATCGGCTGTGCGTAATTGGCAAACTCCAACCACCGTAAAAGAGGTGCAGCGGTTCTTGGGTTTGCTAATTACTACCGGAGGTTTATCCGGGGCTTTGGACAGGTTGCAGTTCCCATTACGTCCCTGCTAAAGGGGGGTCCGGTGCGCTTGCAGTGGTCAGCTGAGGCGGACAGGGCATTTGTCAAGCTGAAGAAACCTGTTCGCCTCGGCCCCGGTGCTGGCGCATCCGGATCCCTCTTTGCCTTTCCAAGTAGAGGTGGACGCGTCCGAGACCGGTATTGGGGGCAGTCCTGTCACAACGGTCCGGCACGCCACCTAAGCTCCGCCCCTGTGCATTCTACTCTAAGAAGCTCAGCTCGGCGGAGCGCAATTATGACGTTGGGGACAGGGAGCTGTTAGCTGTAGTCCAGGCCCTAAAGGTGTGGAGGCATTGGCTTGAGGGGGCTCAACACCCTTTCCTCATTCTGACTGATCACCGTAACCTGGAGTACATCCGGGCAGCTAGGAGATTGAACCCCTCGTCAGGCTAGGTGGAACATGTTCCTGACCCGGTTTGTTTTTAAGATCACCTACATCCCTGGGTCCCAGAACGGTAAGGCAGACGCCCTGTCCCGGCAGTATGACACAGAGGAGAGGTCCATTGAGCCTATTTCCATACTGCCGGAGTCTTGTCTGGTGGCTCCGGTAGTATGGGAGGTCGATGCGGAAATCGAGCGGGCGCTGCGTACCGACCCTACTTCCCCCCGAGTGTCCTGTGGGGCGGACGTACGTTCCGCTCGAGGTTCGTGATCGGCTTATTTCTTGGGCTCATACATCACCCTCCTCTGGACATCCTGGTATTGGTCGGACGGTGCACTGCCTTAGCGTAAAATACTGGTGGCCAACGTTAGCCAGGGATGTGAGGGTTTATGTCTCCTCCTGCTCGGTATGTGCCCAGTGTAAGGCACCTAGACATTTGCCCAGAGGTAAGTTACATCCTCTGCCCGTTCCACAACGACCATGGTCCCACCTCTCGGTAGATTTTGTGACCGATCTACCCCCTTCCCAGGTAATACCACCATTTTGGTCGTTGTGGATCGGTTTTCTAAGGCCTGTCGTCTCCTCCCACTGCCGGGTCTCCCTACTGCCCTACAGACCGCCGAGGCCCTCTTTACCCCACGTGTTCCGGCACTATGGGGTCCCCGAGGATATTGTGTCCCGACCGAGGTCCCCAGTTCACCTCCAGAGTCTGGGGGGCTTTCATGGAACGCCTGGGGGTCTCGGTTAGCCTTACCTCGGGGTACCACCCAGAGAGCAATGGGCAGGTTGAACGTGTGAACCAGGATGTGGGTAGGTTTTTGAGGTCCTATTGCCGGGACCGGCCGGAGGAGTGGTCGAGGTATATCCCCTGGGCAGAGATGGCCAGAACTCTCTCCGCCACTCCTCCACCGGATTAACACCTTTCCAGTGTTATTTAGGGTATCAGCCGGTCCTGGCACCGTGGCACGAGAGCCAGACCCGAGGCACCTGCGGTGGACGAGTGGATTCGGCACTCGGAGGAGACGTGGGACGCTGCCCATGTCCATCTGCAGCGTGCCAATCCGTCAACAAAAGGCGAGCGCCGATCGCCACCGCAGTGAGGGGCCGGTGTACGCACCGGGAGATCGAGTCTGGCTCTCGACTCGAAACCTGCCCCTCCGCCTGCCCTGCCGGAAGCTGGGTCGGCGGTTTGTGGGGCCCTTTTAAAGTCCTGAGAAGGTTGAACGAGGTGTGTTACAGGTTACAACTGCCTATAGAGTACAAAAATATTAACCCCTTCGTTCCATGTGTCTCTTCTCAGGCCGGTGGTAGCTGGTCCACTCCAGGAGAATGAGATAGGAGAGACCCCTCCGCCCCCGTTTGGACATCGAGGGGGCCCCGGCGTATAGAGTCCGGAACCATCTTGGACTCGAGGCGCCGGATGAGTGGTCTCCAGGTATCTGTGGAGTGGAGGGGTACGGTCGGGGGAACGGTGGGTGCCCGGAGGGGGCACCCGATCCACCCTCCTGCGTTTCCCCTGGGGATCCCCCGCCCGGTCCGCTCCCTGGCCCCCCCAGGCCGGGGGGGGGGAGGGTGGGCCCCGGGGGGGGGGACTTTTGGTTGGAGGTGCCCCCCCTTTTTAAAACCTGCCGGGGAATATCCCCTGTCAGTTTTTTTGAGGGTTTTTTGGTCCCCTTGGATTTTTAAAAAAAAATAATTTTTCCCCTTTTTGGGTTGGTGGGGGGTTTGGCGCTTTTTTTTGCGGGTTTTGTTTTTTTCTGTGTTTTTTGGAAAATTGGCCCCCAGGGGGGTTTTGGGGACCTTTTTTGGAATTTTTAAAATCTTTACAGCCTCGTTCTGGGGCCACCCCACCACACAAACCCCCCCCCTTTCCCAATTTCCCCCAAAGAACATCAGCCAAATTTTTGGGCCTTTTAACATCATTTTGTATTTTAAAAAGAATATATCAGTCCCCAATTTTTATTTCCAAAAATCAGGCCCAGGGGTTTTAAAAACTTCCATTTAGGTGGATTTAAGTATCGTGTGTTTGGGGGCCCCTTGTTTGGATTTTTTTCAAATTTTTTTCCCAAAATCACTGTAGATTTTAAATGGAAAAATTTTGGGGGGTAAGCCTTTTTTCCCTTTTTTTTTATTTTTGGAAATTTTAGGTTTTCCTTTTAAAAAAATTTGGATTCTTTTTACGTTTCTTGGAAATTTTTTAATTGGGTAAAGGCGAACCCAAAAAAAAGGGGGTTTTCCAACCCAAATTTTTTTTTGCAATTAAATTATTTTTAAAAAAAAAATTTTTTAAACATTGGGCTTTTTTCCCGGGGAAAATACTTTTCTTAAAAAGAAACTTTTTATTGTATAAGGGGGAAGATCGGTTTTTTAACCCTTTTTTTTAATTATTTTTGGATTTTTGGTTTTTTTTTTAAAAAACTTTGGAAGGGTTTATGTCAGGGTTTTTTTTGAATATTAAAAATTTTGAACAAAAATGGTCTGGGAGTTTTAAAAGCCTTTTCCCAAACAAATAACCCGGCCCAATAAAAACAACTATGGAGTTCCCCAAAAAAGGAAAAATTTGGGGGGTTTTTTAAAAACCCTGGGGGTTTTTTTGATCTTTAAAAGGGCAAAAAACTGTAGAGCATGAATATTTTCTTCCCCCCCTTTTCCTCCCCCCAAACCTGACACCAAAACAGGGTTTAAACCCAAAAAGGAAAGGGAAACCCCTTTCTCTTCAAATCTCTTCGCACTGGGCCAAAAACACCCTTTATCATCCTTTGACGAGGCCCCGAACTCGGGCGCCCCTCACCGCGGGCCCCCAAAGTTCCACCCTTAAAACTACTGGAGCACGTCCCTTTTTTGCACATAACCCCACCTTCCCACCTCACATTTCCTTTTTACACTAAACTTTCTTCTCACAGTCATTCATGCCCCGTCACCCCCCACTCCATTTTTATTCGGGGAATATGTTTCACTTTCTTCCTTTTTGCTTGTTCTCCATCTTCCCATCCGACCAGAATGTCCACCCCTCGTCCTCCTCCGCACTCGTTCAAAACACATGGGCGTTGAAGGGATCTGTGTGAACATTTTAAAAGTTGAGGCTGATTGTCCAGTCCATCATGGCCTTTGATTGGTTTACCAAGCCTCATCTGGGCTCAAACAAATGCTGGGAAAGTTCTGGGAAGGTTTCTAGCTTGGCGTGGCAGGAGAGAGGTTTTGCCTTGACAGAACCTTAGGTCCTTTAAGTGGCTTATAATCATGTTATATAATCTCAAAGCAAAGTGACGTATATGTCATTATAAACTGTGTGGTTCGAGCCCTGAATGCTGATTGGCTGACATATGTGGTATTTGAGACCGTATACCACAGGTATTACAAAACATATATTTCTATTGCTCTATTTACGTTGGTAACCAGCTTATAATAGCAATAAAGCTCCTCAGGGGTTGTGATAGATGGCCAATATACCACGGCTAAGGGCTGTGTCTAGACACTCCGCGTTGCGTCATGCAAAAGAAGAGCCCTTAACGTGGTATATTGGCCATATACCACCCCCCCTCAGGCCTTATTGCTGAAATAGTCTTCCTGAAAATCAGACTTATTAATACATTTTGTGTGATATGATGTAGATTCATGATAGCTATGTAATCACTGACATGGTTTCTGATATAAGTGCTGAAAGGGGACTGATATATTGATTACTGATTGACTGATCTAAAGGGGAGATCTCCAGAGCTCTGACGTCTCCAGTCTCCTGCTTCACCTGCTGCTCTCTGGAACAGTGGTGTTAGGAAGGATGTATGGGTAATGTTTAGGGGCTTTATTGTATGTGTTTGAATCATATTGATTCAATTCTAGCTATTCAAAACACAGGTCATCTTAAGTCTTTTATATATCATTTCACATCATCTCTATTCAGATTGGTTGATGGTTTTCCTTGAGTTACTCAACAGAGTCAACATGTAGTTAATGATCAGGAGAAACATTTAGTGATCAGTTATGGTCTAAGGTCTTCTAGACATAGATCTAGTTTGACTTTATTGTTGTTCAGCTCTACTACACAGTGTCATTGTAAGTTCCTTTCCTGAGGATGGCTCACCCCTCACAGTTCTGGGTGACTTTAACCTCCCTACGTCTGCCTTTGACTCATTTCTCTCTGCCTCCTTCTTTCCACTCTTTTCCTCTTTTGACCTCACCCTCTCACCGTCCCCCCCTACTCACAAGGCAGGCAATACGCTTGACCTCATCGTTACTAGATGCTGTTCTTCTACGTCGCAACCTTCGCTCTCTCTCTCCCGCTACTCTCCTCTTCCATCCAATCATCCTTCCCTCTGCTAAAATCCTTCTCCATCCGATCTCATGATTCTGCCTCCTCAACCCTCCTCTCCTCTCTTTCTGCATCTTTTGACTCTCTATGTCCCCCTATCCTCCCGGGCCATCTCTGTCCTCCCCTCCTGCTTCCGTGGCTTGATGACTCATTGCGAGCTCACAGAACAGGGCTCCGGGCAGCCGAGCGGAAATGGAGGAAAACTAGACTCCCTGCGGACCTGTCATCTTTTCACTCCCTCCTCTCTACATTTTCTTCCTCTGTTTCTGCTGCTAAAGCCACCTTCTACCACTTTAAATTTCAAGCCCTCTGCCTCTAACCCTAGGAAACTCTTTGCCACCTTCTCCTCCCTACTGAATCCTCCTCCTCCTCCCCCTCCTCCCTCTCTGTGGATGACTTCGTCAACCATTTTGAAAAGAAGGTTGACGACATCCGATCCTCATTTATTAAATCAAATGACACCGCTGGTCCTGCTCACACGCCCTACCCCTATGCTTTGACTTCTTTCTCCCCTCTCTCTCCAGATGAAATCTTGCGACTTGTGACGGCCGGCCCGCCCAACAACCTGCCCGGCTTGACCCTATCCCCTCCTCTCTTCTCCAGACCATTTCCGGAGGACCTTCTCCCTTACCTCACCTCGCTCATCAACTCATCCTTGACCCTGTGCTATGTCCCTTCCGTCTTCAAGAGAGCGAGAGTTGCACCCCTCCTCAAAAAACCTACACTCAGATCCCTCCAATGTCAACAACTACAGACCAGTATCCCTTCTTTCTTTCTCTTCCAAAAACTCTTGAGCGTGCCGTCTCTAGCCAACTCTCCGGCTAATCTCTCTCAGAATGACCTTCTTGATCCAAACCAGTCAGGTTTCAAGACTGGTCATTCAACTGAGACTGCTCTTCTCTGTGTCCACGGAGGCTGTCCGCACTGCTAAAGCTAACTCTCTCTCCTCTGCTCTTATCCTTCTAGACCTATCTGCTGCCTTTGATACTGTGAACCATCAGAACCTCCTCTCCACACTCTCCGAGTTGGGCATCATCTTCGGCTCTGCTCACTCTTGGATTGCATCCTGCCTGACAGGTCGCTCCTACCAGGCGGCGTGGCGAGAATCTGTCTCCGCACCACGTGCTCTCACCACTGGTGTCCCCCAGGGCTCAGTTCTAGGCCCTCTCCTATTCTCTCTATACACCAAGTCACTTGGCTCTGTCATATTCTCACATGGTCTCTCCTATTATTGCTACGTAGACAACACACAATAAATGTTCTCCTTTCCCCCTTCTGATAAGCAGGTGTCGAATCGCATCTCTGCATGTCTGGCAGATATATCAGTGTGGATGTCGGATCACCACCTCAAGCTGAACCTCGGCAAGACGGAGCTGCACTTCCTCCCGGGGAAGGACTGCCCGCTCCATGATCTCGCCATCACGGTTGACAACTCCATTGTGTCCTCCTCCCAGAGTGTAAAGAACCTTGGCATGACCCTGGACAACACCCTGTCGTTCTCCGCCAACATCAAAGCGGTGACCCGATCTTGCAGGTTCATGCTCTACAACACTCGTAGAGTACGACCCTACCTTACACAGAAAGCGGCACAGGTCCTTATCCAGGCACTTGTCATCTCCCGTCTGGATTACTGCAACTCGCTTTTGGCTGGGTCTCCCTTTCTGTGCCATTAAAACCCCTACAACTTATCCAGAACGCTGCAGCCCATCTGGTGTTCAACCTTCCCAAGTTCTCTCATGTCACCCTGCTCCTTCGCACACTCCACTGGCTTCCAGTTGTAGCTCGCATCTACTACAAAACCATGGTGCTTGCCTACGGAGCTGTGAGGGGAACGGCACCTCCTTACCTTCAGGCTCTGATCCTACACCCAAACGAGGGCACTACGTTCATCCACCTCTGGACTGCTAGCCCCCCTACCTCTACGGAAGCACAGTTCCCCGCTCAGCCCAGTCAAAGCTATTCGCTGCTCTGGCACCCCAATGGTGGAACAAGCTCCCCCACGACGCCAGAACAGCGGAGTCACTGACCACCTTCTGGAGACACTTGGAAACCCTATGTCACGAGAATTTCTATCTCTAATTAAACTCAAATTTGAATAATTCCCAGAGGGTGTAAGGCTCTGGATTTAATCATGAATTAAACAAGGTCCACAACCAGCAAGAATGATCTGTATTATTTAATCATGGAGAGGTCTGCTGCCAAAACACAATATACAGCCTTTATATATGCCTTCACACAAAGGAACTTTGCTTCCGCCCACCTTTAGGCGGCCTGTACATTTCCACAACCAGTTTCTAAGTCTCCTCCCTCCTGGAATGTTTGTCTCAGCAGTTTCTAACTCACCCCCTCTCTAGTGGGTTTACACTACATTATAACTCTAACACAGTTCACACATTTAAACCGCATTTGGGTTTGAAATCCTTTAGTCATTATTTTCAAAATACAAATTAATCTATCAATCCACCCTTTGACAAAAAATGTCACACTCAGGATGAATGTATTTACAAGCATGAGTAATCTCAGAGATTAGTTCTATTTAACTCCTTCCAACCATAGGCCTTCTTTTTAAGATTTTCCCTATGATATTCATACATCAGAACTAATAAATGTTTCATCCAATTGTGGTCTTTCAGGGTCAAAGTCCTCGTTATCCACCAAGCCTGGAGGATCGTATTTCACATTCCACTGGTCAGTCCGTAGTCGGTCCATATCTTATCATCTGTTGAGAAACTGCATACTCCAACGCCTAACCTCCCAACCCTCGGACACAGGGAACAAGACAACAACAACCACATAATACAAGCAATTGCATCCAATTGCGGTGGCTGCCCCCAAGATGGTGGCTGCTATGGTTTTCCATTTACCAAACATTTTTGTGACGAGTACTGAGGATATGAAGAGGCGGGACACAGACGCAGGAAATTAACAAGGTCAAGGTTTACTCAAAGAGAATTAACAAAGATAGAGTACATGACACGAAGCAAAAACAATCCACAACGCAACATGACACAGAACAGTCCAGGGTCAGGGCGGCGACGGTGGAAGTCCCGAATTAGGTTGGGGTCCAGAATGTCCCCAGCCTGGAACCCAGCTCCTCTCCTCAGGACCATACCCATCCCAGTCCACCAGGTAATGGAGAAGTCCCCACGGAACCTGGAGTCCAGCAGGTCCCTCACCGTATACGCCGGACTCCCATCAATGTCCAGGGGCGGAGGAGGCGTACCCCGGGGGACGGCATCCGCCTAAGGACCTGGAACCACCGGCCTGAGGAGAGACACATGAAAAGTGGGTGAGACACGGTAGTGAGGAGGAAGGAGCAGCCGGTACGATACCTCATTTATCTGCCGGAGGACCTTTAACGGCCCCACAAACCGGGGGCTCAGTTTCTTGCAGGGCAGGCGGAGAGGAAGGTTTTTTGTGGACAGCCAGACACGATCCCCAGGCTGGAATACAGGGGCTTCACTGCGGTGGCGGTCGGCTTGGTCCTTCTGCCGATGAATGGCCCTCTGGAGATGGACATGGGCGGCATCCCAGACCTGTCCGGCCCTGTGAAACCACTCGTCGACAGCGGGCGCATTGGTCTGGCTAGGTGTCCAAGGTGCCAGGGCCGGCTGGTACCCCAGGACACACTGGAAGGGAGTGAGCCCCATGGAGGAGTGAATGAGGAAGTTCTGCGCATATTCTGCCCAGGGAAGAAACCTCGCCCACTCACCCTGCCGGTCCTGACAGTGGCAACGAAGAAACCTCCCTAGCTCCTGGTTCATGCGCTCCACCTGCCCATTCGACTGAGGCCTATACCCGGAAAGGATTCCACACTCGGGAGGGGGCCACGGTCCGAGACGATGTCCTCCAAAAGTCCATAATGCTGGAAGACCTGTTGGAACAGAACCTCAGCAACCTGGAGAGCAGAAGGAAGACCAGTTAGTGGCAAAAAACGGCATGATTTGGAGAACCGATCTACGACCACTATTACTGTGGTGAAGCCGTCAGAACGTGGAAGGTCGGTGACAAAGTCTATGGACAGGTGTGACCAAGGTCGCTGAGGCACTGGGAGAGGAACTAGTTTGCCTGCCGGGGCGTTCCGAGGTGTCTTCGTTTGGGCACATACGGAACAGGAGTTGACATAGCGGGACACATCAGAAGCCAAGGTGGGCCACCAGTACTTTTGTGCTAGAGAATGCAGAGTGCGCGTAATACCGGAGTGCCCTGCCGTAAGGGTGGTGTGCGCCCAGATCAGCAGGCGGTCCCGGACACTGGTGGGGTACATACACGCAACCCGGAGGGGCGTTGGCAGGCTCCGGGTCCTCCTGAGCCACCGGGCGGATATCTTTTTCCACATCCCAAACGACAGGTGCAGCAATGTAGACGTGGGCTGGATAGGATCCCCCAGATCCTTCCTTTCTCCGGTATGGTGCATCCTGGAGAGTGCGTCAGCTTTCACATTCTGGGACCCTGGGCAGTAGGACAGAAATAATTGAAATCGAGTGAGAAATTTGGCCCACCTTGCTTGACGAGAGTTCATCCAATTCGCTGCCCGTATGTGCTTCAAATTCCGGTGGTCAGTAAGAATCCGGAATGGATGGACTGCACCCTCCAGCCAGTGTCTCCATTCCTCCAGAGCGAGGACCACCGCCAACAGCTCCCTGTCTCCAACTCCATAGTTCCTCTCTGCGGGGCTAAGCTTTTTTGAGAAAAAGGCACAGGGATACATTTGCTCTGGCTTACCGTGCCACTGGGAGAGGACCGCACCCATGCCCTCCTCCGATGCGTCCACCTCCAGGATGAAAGGATGAGAGGGATCTGGGTGTTTTAGGATGGGCACTGTGGTGAACCTCTCCTTCAGCCTCTTGAGGGCATCGTCAGCCTCAGGGTTCCAGGTCAGCTTCTGAGGCCCGCCCTTAAGGAGAGAGGTGAGCGAGGCGGTTATGGAGCTGAAGGACCTGATGAAATGGCGGTAGAAATTGGCAAAGCCCAGGAAGCTCTGTAGGCCCTTGGTGGTGGGAACTGGCCATGACCTGACGACGTCCGTCTTCACTCCTTCCATGAACACCCCCTGAGGACTGATCCTGTATCCTAGGAAGGAGATGGCCGGTTGGTGGAATTCGCATTTCTCCCCTTTCACGAACAGGCTGTGTTCCCGGAGACGGAGTAGGACAGCTTGGACGTCCCTGACGTGCTCCTCGAACGTAGCCGAGTAGATCAGGATATCGTCGATGTACACCACCACCTGTCTACTCAGCATGTCCCGGAACACGTCATTGACGAAGGACTGGAACACAGATGGTGCGTTGGCGAGGCCGTAGGGCATGACGCGGTATTCATAGTGGCCTGAGGTAGTATCTGCTAAATGACTAAAATGTAAAAATGTAAATGTAATGTAAAATGTAGTACTGAATGCCGTCTTCCACTCATCTCCTTCCCGGATTCGGATTAGGTTGTAGGCACTCCTCAGGTCCAACTTGGTAAAGTACCGGGCCCCTCATAGCTGCTCGATGGCCGACGGAACCAGAGGGAGGGGGGTACCGGTACTTGGTGGTGACTGCGTTCAGCCCCCTGTAGTCAATGCATGGTCTCAGTCCTCCGTCTTTCTTTTTATTAAATGTTTTTTATTTCACCTTTATTTAACCAGGTAAGCCAGTTGAGAACAAGTTCTCATTTACAACTACGACCTGGCCAAGATAAAGCAAAGCAGTGCGATAAAAACAACAACACAGAGTTACATATGGGGCAAACAAAACATAAAGTCAAAAATACAACAGCAAATATATATACAGTGTGTGCGAATGTAGTAAGTTATGGAGGGTAAGGCAATAAATAGGCCATAGTGCAAAATAGTTACAATTTCGTATTAACACTGAATGATAGATGTGCAAAAGATGATGTGCAAATAGAGATACTGGGGTGCAAATGAGCAAAATAAATAACAATATGGGGATGTAGTTAGGTGGGCTAATTTCAGAATGGCTGTGTACAGGTGCAGTGATCTGTAAGCTGCTCTGACAACTGACGCTTAAAGTTAATGAGGGAGATAAGAGTCTCCAGCTTCAGAGATTTTGCAGTTCGTTCCCGTCATTGGCAGCAGAGAACTGGAAGGAATGGGGGCCAAAGGAGGTGTTGGCTTTGGGGATGACCAGTGAGATATACCTGCTGGAGCGCAGACTACGGGTGGGTGTTGCTATGGTGACCAGTGAGCTAAGATAAGATGGGGATTTGCCTAGCACGAAGAAGAAGCTGGCGGAGGCAGGAGAGGTAGATCATCTGATGAACCCCTGTTTCAGGGTGTCCGCCACATACTTCTCCATGGCCTCAGTCTTCGCCATGGAAAGGGGGGTAAATGCGACTCTTCAGGGGGTGTTGTCCCTCCAGCAGGTCAATGGCGCAGTACCAGGGCCTGTGAGGAGGGAGACACATAGCCTTTACTGAAGAGAAGACATTGGAGAGATCTGCATACTCACGTGGAATGTTGGGCTGGAGGGCGGAGTCCGGACTCTCCACTGACGTGGAACAACAAACCACCGGCAGCCAGGTCTTCCGGCATGAGGTAGACCAGGCTGTGATACTCTTGGTGCTCCAATTGATGGTGGGGTTGTGTAGTCTTAGCAAGGGCAATCCCCAGACGATCCGGTGAAGGGATGACGTGATGATGTGGAATGACAGCTCCTCGTGGTGCTCCGGTAGTGTGGGAATGGTGATGGTGATGGGACAGTGACGTACGTAATGGTGCCTGATCCAAGGGGTTTATTGTCCAGTGAGGTGACATGTAGCGGAGATGGCAGTGGCACAGTGGGCAACCCCCATTCAGAGACCAGCTCCCTATCTATAAGGTTCCCCGCTGATCCGGAATCTATCATAGCAGTAGAAATGGAAGAGAAGGAATAACCAGACACCGTTATGGGAACTAAAAACAATGGTTTTGTGATAGGAGCTGGCGTAACACTTACGGAGCGGCGACGGGAGTCATATCGCCTAGATAGGGAGCCGCCAGGAGATCTGTGGTCCGTGGTGGTGTAGGGGGTGCTGCCCACCTCCATGGGTGAGGACTCGGAAGCAGGGCGGCTTCCATAGCTCAGTTGGGTGAGCGTTGAGACTCCGGGAGGTGTTGGGAACGCCGTCTCTCTCTCAACATGTCGTCAAGACGGATGGACGTGGTGATGAGGGTATCAAGGTCCATCTCGTCATCCCGACATGCGAGTTCCATCTTGTTGTCCTCCCGTAAGCCTCTCCTGAAGGCCGTGTCAGCAGAGCACGTTCATTCCAGCCGGAAGATGCCGGCACCGTGCGAAAGCTCAGAGCGTACTCGGACGCGGGCCCCTCTCTCTGTTGTAGATGCAGGAGACGCACACCCCCGTCCTTTCCCTCCGTGGGATGATCAAACACCGCCCTGAACTGAGCGAGGAAGGTGGTGTAGGGTAGTGCCACTGCCTCCTGTCCTTCCCAGACTGCCGTGGCCCAATCCAGCGCCTTCCCCTTAAGAAGTGAAATCACCAGCGCTATCCTGGCTTGGTCAGATGGATATGCCCCAGGCTGACGCGCCATATAAAGTGACACTTGTAGCAAGAAGCCTCTACATTTAGTAGTTTTACCGTCAAAGCGTTCTGGTAGGGTGAGGGTTCCCGCAAAAGTGGGTGATAGCCCGAGGACAGGTGGATTGGAGGCACTCGCCGATCCCTGAGGTAGAACCAGAGAGCTGGGTAGATTGTGCAGAGTTTGGAGTACTTTCTGCATGGCGACGTTCAACTGGGCAAGCTGCTGCTGGTGCTGGTCGAGACACTGGGAAACTCCTGCTGCATCCATTTTCGTTTGATGTGTGATTCTGTGACGAGTACTGAGGATACGAAGAGGCAGGAGGGGACATTGCCAAGGTGCGGCCGTTTCTCTCTCAGGCTGATACAGAGAGACTCATCAATGCTTTCATTACAAGCAGGCTTGACTGCTGTGATGCTCTCCTGTCTGATCTACCCATGAAAGCAATTGGTCAACTGCAAAACATACAGAATGCTGCAGCACGGGTACTGACGTAGAGCACACATTACACCGCTTTAAAGATCTCTGCACTGGCTGCCTGTGAGTTTTAGAATTAATTTTAAGATTGGTTTTTAAATCAATCCACGATTGTGCACCCCAATACATGTCAGACATGCTTTTAAGTTATGTACCCAGTAGGTCCCTCAAGGCCTCTGGCACTGGCCTTTAACTATCCCAAAGCCTAGGACCAAGAAGCATGGAGAGGCAGCCTTTAGTTATTATGCCCCCCAGCCTCCAGAATAGCCTGCCAGAGAACCCGAGGTGGCCGAAAATGTGGAAATATTTAAAAGAGATCTTAAAACATATCTAGTAGTAGTAGTAGTAGTAGTAGTTGTTGTTGTCCTCTCCTCTCCTCTCCTCTCCTCTCCTCTCCTCTCCTCTCCTCTCCTCTCCTCTCCTCTCCTCTCCTCTCCTCTCCTCTCCTCTCCTCTCCTCTCCTCTCCTCTCCTCTCCTAATATAGAGTTGTAGTAGCTGACCCGCCTCTCCTCTCCTCTCCTCTCCTCTCCTCCTCTCCTCTCCTCTCCTCTCCTCTCCTCTCCTCTCCTCTCCTCTCCTCTCCTCTCCCCTTCGCCTGCCCTGCCGGAAGCTGGGTCCGCGGTTTGTGGGGCCATTTAAAGTCCTGAGGAGACTGAACAAGGTATGCTATAGGTTACAGCTCCCCCCTGATTACCGTATTAACACCTCGTTCCATGTGTCTCTCCTCAGGCCGGTGGTGGCAGGTCCGCTCCAGCAGTCTGAGGTGCGGGAGGTTCCTCCGCCCCCTCTGGACATCGAGGGGGTCCCGGCGTATACTGTACGAGCCATCATGGACTCAAGGCGTCGGGAGAGGGGCCTTCAGTACCTCATGGAGTGGGAGGGGTACGGTCCGGAGGAGAGATGCTGGGTGCCGGTGGAAGATATCCTGGACCCTTCCTTACTGTAGGAATTTCACCGTCTCCACCCGGATCGTCCTGCGCCTCGTCCTCCGGGTCGTCCCCGAGGCCGGTGTCGGCGCGCTGCTGGAGCCGCGCGTCAAGGGGGGGGGGGGGGGGTACTGTCACGACTTCCGCCGAAGTTGGTGCCTCTCCTTGTTCGGGCGGCGTTCGGCGGTCGTCGTCACAGGCTTTCTAGCTGCCACCGATCTACGTTTCTTTTTCCATTTGTTTTGTCTTGATTGTACACACCTGGTTCCCATTACATTATATTATTTCCCTATTTAAACCTCTGGTTCCCACTTGGTTCTGTGCATGTTTGTTCTTTGTTCTGTGTCTAAGACTTATGTGAGCTGGTGTGTTTTCCCTGCGTGGAAATTAGTGTTGTTTATTTTTCGAGTAAAGTACGTTGTTTACTCAGTTCTGTGTCCTGCGCCTCCTTTCTCCTCCAGCTAGTCCCTCTGTCAGGGGTAGTTGTAGTAGTAATAGTAGTAGCAGTAGTAGTAGTAGTAGTAGTAGTAGTAGTAGTAGTAGTAGTAGTAAAGTGTAACCTTGAAAGCAGAAAGCAAGTGTCCAGATGAAGATGGTGATAAAAGTCATGGTTGTTGTGGGTTCTGTTGTCATGAAGGACAGCTCTCAGTCATGAAGTGTTAAACTCACAGGGATATAAACACTCTTAAAGCAGTGGGGCAGAGGCATTATGCAACTGTCTGTTCACTCATGCTTGGTCTCTCATGTAAGTTCCTCTAATCAGTTAGTGAAAACTTCTCTAAACTAAAGCTGGTAGGATTCCTCTGGTAGTGTTGTCTGTCCTCTGTGACTTTACAACCACTGTTAAATCTGAGATCAACATCTTTAATAAAGGAATATACAACATGGATCACTATCAGTACTGCTGCTGCTGTTGTCTTTCATATGGACAATATGGAGGAATACTAGCAACACTGGATCTAATGTTGGACTGTACCTATAGACTAGGAGAAAACCTGATACACAGAAGAAGGAAAAAATAGTCATATCTGGATTTAAGATACAATTCATATTTTTATTATCTAGAAACAGCTTATATGAAGTGTTTGTTCTACCTGGAAGATGTTAAAGTGTATTAGTGTTGAATGTGATGCTGTATGAGTGATATTCAGTGTAACAGCTGCAGCATCACAACACAGAGAGGTTTTTGTACCAGCAGTAATAGGGATTGTATCACTGTGGTGGACTTTTGGTAGCGGCACCAGACTTGATGTTGGAAGTAAGTAAACAACAAAATTAACTGTTTTATTCACCTTTTGATCTCGTGTTCCAATACCTCTAGAAATTTAGCCTCGATATTGGGGATTTTTTTACTTACTTTTTTTTACATGATTTTGGCGGAAAATATACAAAGCCTACACATAATATGGCCAATTTTAACAAGTATTTTAATACATCTAATTAAATTTGAGAGTGATTAGCCTACATTTTAGATTAGGTGTATGAATAAACATACTGTACCTTGTAGGAAATGTTCAATAAACAGGTTTAGCAATTTTTGTGGAAAAAAACAAAAAACACTTTATGTCAAATGAACAAAATATAATCATCTTTGGCAAGTATTCATACCATATTAGAGTCAATGATTTCAACCACAGTCTAAAGAAATTCAGCTTGCCCAATGGGCAGGAGGTTTTTGTATGAGCAGTAATAGGGATTATATCACTGTGGGCCACTTTTGGTAGCGGCACCAGACTAGATGTTGGAAGTAAGTAACAAGCTCTCTTGATATTTCTTTCTGATTACACTTATTAAGTATGTTATTCTTACACTCTGTCTCTATGAAACTATTGCGATTTTAGATTTTCAAAATGTTTTAATTACTTTTGACTGAGCCTTCTTTCAAATAACCATTTTTTGAATCAAAATGTTAAATTGCAGGTTTATTTGTATGTCTGATTTGTATGATTGGTGACTATAACTCTTCATTCTGGTATGATGACTATTTAATAGTACTGGATATAGTAGTCATTATTGTTTCATTGAGTTCATGGTAGCCTTCACTATTAGTGTGAAGACAAATGGTCTCAGTCATGTTTGGAACCGACTTCATGAACTAACATGGTTGATATGTGATTAAAACTAATTTATGCTCAAATTCTGCAAAGACTACGAATATGAAAAGGCTATTGTGATCAGATTCATTCCTAAAAAATGTCTGTATGACATGTATAACTGATGCTGAATGACTTGTAACTCTACTTATTTAATACTTGTTCGGTTCATTAATCTGCTTTATCATATTACAGTTTGTGTTTTCTCCATATCTTTTGCCAATCTAACTTTTACATTAATATTTAGAGGGCATTTCCAAATCACTTTATTTTGATGTGTCCTTTGCTGAATATAATCTCTTACTGTAACTGTACTTGATGTAGTTACTTAGGTGATGTGTTCTGTTTGTTCCAGGCAACAGAGTCCCAACCCTCACCGTCCTGCCCCCCTCTAGTGAGGAGCTGTCCAGTACAACAACAGCCACACTGACGTGTCTGGCCAACAAGGGCTTCCCCTCAGACTGGACCATGAGCTGGAAAGTGGATGGGACCAGCAAGAAGCAGGAGACCAGTCCCGGGGTCCTGGAGAAGGACGGCCTGTACAGCTGGAGCAGCACACTGACTCTCACTGCCCAGGAGTGGACCAAAGCAGGAGAGGTGACCTGTGAAGCCCAGCAGAAATCCCAGACTCCAGTCACCAAGACCCTGAGGAGGGCTGACTGTTCTGGGTAGGACCCCTCAGTCACACAGCCCTGTGGAGAGAGGCTGCTGGTTCCTCTGCTTTGACTAGCTTTGTTCTAAAATCAGTCGTTCTCTGATTTAGTGATCACTCTGGTGTAGACTAACAGGGGGCTTGGCTTGAATTCATGTGTCAATCCATTCTGTAGATTGATATTTTGTTAGTTTTAGATTTGATGTGATCTGCTTTATTCACTATCATGTTTGCTTTGATGCTTCGATTGTGTGATAATGGATTAAAATAAAGATTTCTTTTTGGAATGCATATTTATGTTGTTTTTATTAATAAACTGGATCATAGATAGTGTATATTTGCAATATTCCGAAACTCAGTCTAACATCATAATTGACCAGTATTTAATACTATCACAATATATTATGATATAATAGAAGAGGTGCTGCCATGGTAGTAGTTGACTGTCTTTATTCATCAGGATACTGAGTCTGTGTCAGACGTGTTTGACTTGACAGACAATTATAGTAATAAAAGAAGAACTATCAAACATTCAACCGATTTCTTGGACTCTCACGTGTGTTATAGGCTGTGATTCGAAGCTAAATATTTTTTTTAAAATTAAAAATATTACAAGTGCCACTACTTCAAGATGTAGCAGTGTTTCCCAAACTTGGTCCTCGGGACCACAAGGGGTGCATGTTTAGTTTTTTACCCTAACACTACACAGCTGATTCAAATTATCAAAGCTCGATGATTAGTTGATTATTTTTCATCAGCAGTGTAAAGCTAGGGCAAAAACCAAAACGTGCACCCCTTGTGGTACCGAGGACCGAGTTTGGGAAACGCTGCTATATAGTGTAGTGACAGTCTTCTCTACCTCCAACCCCCTGGGGACAGAGTGAACATCTGGTGACAGTGCTGCTCTATTCTGGGACAAGCAGAACCACCCAACCCTGTCTATGGAAATCTCAGTTTCACTCCCACAGATACCAGTCTAGTAGTTGAACAGTTTCACTGCCTGAAATACCCTGGACTGGGCCAGATGTGAGGGAGTGGACTGGTTTTAACCTCTATGGTGGATTCAGGGAGGGAGACATGACAGATATGCCACCATGTAATTAATGACATATAAAATTGATATTATACTTTACGTAGATAGTGTATGTAGTACATGTGTCTCATGTTTGAATCCAGCATCATGTCTCATTCACAGATCTAACAGTTAGTAACCTGGGGCGGCAGGTAGCTTAGTGGTTAAGAGTGTTGTGCCACTAACTGAAAGGTTGCTGGTTCTAATCCCCGAGCTGACTAGTTGAAAAATCTGTTGATGTGCCCTTGAGCAAGGCGCTTAACCCTAATTGCTCCTGTAAGTCACTCTGGATAAGAGCGTCTGCTAATTGCCTAAATACTATTATTATATAAAACAGTTAATATAATGCTAGAAGATCACAATTGAAATCACAAATTTGGTTGAGGTCCATTTTGGATCTTGTTTTGGGGGGGCTGAAGTGATTGTAACGTTGAAGTAATGTTGAGGTCAGAACACCTTTTGTTTTACATCTGTAGATATTGCTTTACATATTGACAGAAAATGGGTTTCAAAACATCAAATAAATGTTATATACACTTAAAGGCCATGACAAATATAACAAGTTATAACAATGATAATGATGTTAATGATGATAGTCATGTGAACTGAATGATTACTTTCTAACCATATTGTCACATGTCACAGTTGACTTCATCTAGTGTTCCATGTTACTGTCTCCTCCCCTCAGCACCTGCAGTAGGTCCCAGCTGTAGCAGTACAGTCACTGTGCAGTCTGACTGAGGGAGGTTTTTGTACGGCTCTGTATCACTGTGTGAACAATATTTACTATTGGGAATGTGTAAACTCTGACAGTAGTAATCTCCTGCATCTTCAGCCTGGACTCCACTGATGGTCAGAGTGAAGTCACTATGAGTTCCACTGCCACTGAATCTAGATGGAGTCCCAGACTGAAGTGTTGTAGCATAGTAAATAAGGAGTTTAGGAGCCACTCCAGGTCTCTGTTGGTACCAGGCTAGACGGGGAGAAGATCCTCCTGCACCATACACATCACTGCTGGTTTTACAGTTCAGAGAGACTGTCTGTCCTGGTAGAACAGCTTTCACTGTAGGAGTCTGAGTCACAGTGAACTGTCCTCTGGATTCTGAAACAGAGATGGCATGTAGAAATAACATTCAATTGTTAATACATTTTTCCATGTAGCATATGAAATTAAACTGTAATGAGGTTATATAGCCTAATATTGCAATTGTCTGGGTAATTTTCTGTAAAATATATTACCTTGGAGACAGAGGGCAAATATCCAGATGAAGATGGTGATAAAGATCATGGTTGTTGTGGGTTCTGTTGTCTTGAAGGACAGATCTCAGTCATGAAGTGTTAAACTCACAGAGATATAAACACTACTAGAGTACTGAAGCATGTGCTGGCAATGCAAAGTGTTCTCTCTATGCAAACATACGTTTTTGGTCCCACAGGGATACTGTAGTTGAAGGGTTCTTCTTCTTCTTTGGGATTTGGTTGGCGGATCACATCCACATTTTAGGTGCTTACACCGCCACCTACTGTACTGGTGTGTGAGGCCATTCACAGCCTACCTATCTTATATACTTTGATACAATAATACAACATTGGGAAAAAGGAAAATGACCCTACCACCTATTAGCCCTCTCTAAAAACCCACCACCCATTCTACTATTTAACCCTACCTAGTCCTACTCCAGACCCTCTCTAAAAACCCACCACCCATTCCAATATTTAACCCTACCTAGTCCTACTACAGACCAATGGTCTGAGAGACATATCACTAACACTCAAGACCCCCTGCAGCTGTTCAGCAGTAAATGCCTCTTTCACAAAAACCTATATTTCTGTGACTTTCGATCCATTTCTGCAGTACAATTAACAACCATGGCTATAAATGCTGAAAAAGCCCACCTTACTGAAGCACATATTCCTCCCATCACTCTCTCTTGTTCTCTGCCTACTCACAGGAATCCTCTCAGGATCCCTCACCCTGTACCCATCTTCCTCTACCACTCTCTTCACTGCTTCAGCATATGACACTTTCTGTACTACTCTGACCCTGGCAACCTCAATCTGTCTTTCTCTCACCAGACACCTCCGATCTCCAGCCCCATGAACACCCCCTCAACTAACACACACAAATCTCTCCACCGAAAATACACATTCCTTTGTCTCATGCCCTCCTGCACACTTCTCACATCTAGAAATCTCCCTACTACACACTGCTACAATATGCCCATAACCTTGACACCTAAAACACTGTAATATTTTCGGAACATAAGCTCTCACAGGATAACTGACACTTCCTACCTTGACCTTATCTGTTAACGACTCTGCATCAAAACTCAGCATGACAGATAATGTCTTCTCCGTTTCCCAATCGGATCTATGTCTCACCAAACGGAGGGCATCACAGACACCGGGAATCTTCCATTTCAACTGCTCCTCCTCAACACTTAATGCCACCCCTGTTATCACTCTTTTCACTCTGACACCACATATGGATCAACCAAAAAGCAAGGATCCATTCTCTCTACAAATCTCACTCCCACTGGGCCAAAATCATCCTTATAATACTTGGAATGAGACCTGAACTCTGCGATCCTCGCTGCAGGTATTTCACCCTCACTCTCAACAACTTCCATCTCTGAACTACTGGAGTATCCCTGTTTTTGCACTTAAAGCCCACCTTCCTCACCTCACTACTTCCCTCTACACTCAACTTCTTCTCAGCAGTCATCACTGCACCTGCCACCTCATTTAATTCATCATCACTCTTGTCATGTTCCATTTCCTCCTCAAGCTCTTCCAAAAGTTCTGTGTGATCCTCCATTGCATATTTACTCAAAACATATTCCGTCTCTCCTTTTTTCTAGTCCATCATCTTCTCCTTCACCAGATCTTCCAGATGACTAGTATAATCCCTCACTATATATTTATTCAGAATATGTTTCTCTTTCTTCCTTTTTCTCTTGTCCTCCATCTTCCCGTCCGACAGAATGTTAACCCCTCGTCCTCCTCCGCACTCGTTCAAAACAACTGGGCGTTGAAGGGATCTGTGTGAACAGAATAATTTTAAAGGTTGAGGCTGATTGTCCAGCCAATCATGGCCTTGATTGGTAAACAAGCTTCATCTAGGATCAATCAAAGGCTGGGAAGGTTTGGAAGGTTCTAGCCGGGCGTGGCAGGAGAGAGGTTTTGCCTTGACAGAACCTTAGGTCGTTTAAGTGGCTTTTATCATTTTATATAATCTCAAAGCAAAGTGTCTTATATGTCATTATAAACTGGGTGGTTCGAGCCCTGAATGCTGATTGGCTGACATTCGTGGTATATCAGACTGTATACCACATGTATGACAAAACATGTGTTTTTACTGCTCCAGTTATGTTGGTAACCAGTTTATAATAGCAATAAGGCACTTCGGAGGTTGGTGGTATATGGCCAATATACCACGGCTAAGGGCTTTATCCAGGAACTCCGCTTTGCGTCGTGGATAAGAACAGCACTTAGCCGTGGTACATTGGCCATATACCACACCCCCTCGTGACTTATTTCTTAATTATAAACATGGTGGTTTGAGCCCTGAATGCTGATTTGCTGACAGACGTGGTATTTGAGACCGTATACCACAGGTATGACAAAACATTTAATTACGCTGGTAACCAGTTTATAATAGCAATACGGCACCTCAGGGATTTGTGGTATATGGCCAATATACCACGGCTAAGGGCTGTGTCTAAGCACTCCATGTTGCGTTGTGCGTAAGAACAGCCCTTAGCCATGGTTTGTTGGCCATATACCACACATCCTTGTGCCTTATCGCTTACATAGTCTTCCTGAACAATCAAACATATTAATACATGTTGTGTGATGTGATGTGATGTAGAAACCTGATAGCTATGTAATCACTGACATGGTTTCTGATATAAGTGCTGAATGGGGACTGATGTATTGATTATAGAC